CATTCTTCCTGTCAAAAAATGGGCAACATATTGTCTAATGTTTTTTTTTTTTTTTTTCAGGCCTAGCTAATTGTATTTGATTTCTATGAAGACACTGGTACTTCCAAGGCCAAGAGTGGATTACAGGCATATCATTGTAATTGTAGTTTCAATGTTGATGTTCTGACAAAAATGTACAGTGCATTTATAATAACTGAGTAATGTTTGTGGTTTACTCTGATGCTTTCACTTGTTTTGGGTTCTTGGACACAATAGTAACTTAGTTTTGAGGAACTCTTAGGTTGATGTTAAAATATGCAATATAGTAGTTTTCACATAATAGTTCCTTTAAAAATCAACCAAAAATGTTAAATACATGTGCAAATGTGCTTCATGCCACAAGACAGCTAACGTATTAAGGTATAATTAACACTGGATTTCTTTAACATGCATTATGTACCATGCATTGAGCTCAGTGTAAATGCATGGAGTAAAGAAGTTAAAATAAAAGACTTGGTATGTCCTTGTGCATTGGACACAAACTTTCAATAATAAAAAAGAAAAGTTATTTGACCCGTGTTATGGTCTGTCTTTTATTTATTTAGACTATTTAAATAATATAAAAATTTGTCTATGCCTATAGGTAATAGGCCTATTTGTGTTCAGTAAACAAAAAATATTTTGTTCTGTTATTCATTAGGTAAACATGACTATTTATGTTGTGACAACTTGTGATATTAATGTAATATTTTAAGTTGGGTGGACTTTAGTCCCTGTTTGTTAAGTTTACTCAAAAAAGCGCTTGCGATAAGTTGCCTTATTTTTTTAAGTTGACACAACTTTTTTTTTTTACAGTGTATCTGCGAGGCATCCGTTACACATTTCCCCTGTGTGGTAACGTAATTATGACTGTCGAATGTCTGACTTGACTCTTGGTAATGTATTTTGCCCCTTTTAGATCTGCGTGCGTTCGGTGTTAAAGAGACAGCAGCCTAATAAATGAGCTGCCTGTCATTAATGTTAATCAAAGAACAAAAGAATATCATTCACTGATCTTGACTGAATATATTTAATAACTTTAATTGAAGAATGCTTTGTAAAAAGAGAGAATAAATGTTTGACATCTAAATGTTTGACTTCATTTTTTTTTATATTGGATTTTTTATCTTATTGGAATCGAAACTAGGAATCGATAAGAATCTGAATCGATAAGCAGAATCGGAATCGATAAAATTCAAACGATACCCAACCCTATTCGACTATCAGTCGAATATCGGCAAGATTAGAAAATTCCGATTCGACTATGAAAATCCTTAGTCGGGGACACCCCTACTGCAATAATATAAATTAATTGTATTGCATTGTATCACAGCATGTACATAAACAGACTGAATTTTGCTGTAAAGCAATCCACTTTGAATATTAACAAAATGACAAGACACTCAAGTTACAAGCAAATACCTACATAAAATTAGGGCTGGGAAGATATCAATAAACATATCCGACCCACTTCTGATTCATAAGCTCTCAATTCAATTCAACTGTGATTTATGTAGATGTATTTCATTTAAAATGTCTATTTTGCTTACATTTGAAAGAAATTCCCTCTCCGCTATACTGTGAATTATACAGGGAATGTTCTAACTTCATTATGGAAATATTAAATTAAAGAAAACATAAACAGGGCCCAAATGATGCAGTTTGCCATATATCTAACAGATATAACAATATATATATACAATAATATAATGTTTATAACAGTTTACAGTAAGAATCAACAGAAATCATTAAAATGATAATCAACCTCAGAAAGGTTAATCAGATATTTTATTAATCAGAAATATAAATGTATTTTTCCCAGGTCTACCATTAATGCAATTCAAATTTCAAGTAAAACAAAACTTTTTTCTGACTAATCATGCCACATGTTAACCAAAGTTCTCTAATATAAAAAAAAAAAAAATACCCGTTTCATACCAACAACATTCATATGGTGTAAAATAAATATTTTTCGATGGTATCTGTAATAGTTGACTAGGCGCACGTGTGTCCCCCAGTGTTCAAACAATACCTAAACCAGGTTCTTTGTTCGCCTTTCTGCTTTACATATCGTTTAACACTGCATGACTTTCACTATGACTAAAGACATTGCATGATGCCAGTTTCATGATGCACAGTGCCACATTCACCCTTAGGACATAAAGGAAAGAAGTTAAGTATGAAGGGCAGAGCGTGAGCGGACGCAGTGCAGCTGGGGGTTGTGGAATCTACTGATTAAAAAGAAGGGAAAAACACTGACTTTGGCTGGAGGTCACTTTTAGATCGCCCCAAGCAATTGTTCCAAAAGCTGTGTTTTTTTTCCTCTAAAAACACCCTTGAGATGAGCACCGAAAAGGTTAGAGTGTTAAAACGGCCAGTATTAATGGCAACTCGGCTAAACTAAAACAGATTCTCAGGGTTACAACCTCCCTCAGTGGTCGTGGAGTGGAATGCTTGAGTAAAATGTGTGACTTCGGCCCCGTCTCTTCAAACGCCGCGTCTGTGGCCTCCTTAAGGTGAGTATTGCCACAGTCTGACAAAAATACACTCATCACTAACCATTTTATATGATTTTCAGGGACCTGTCACATTCCTCTGCAGCTTTTCCTTTCTCTCTTTGTTTCCTCAACACTCTTTTTGTCCTTTTTGAGTCGTAAATTGTTTTTTGTTGAATTGCTTCTCCTTGGGCTTGTCATTGTGCTTTTCATTAAAAGAAAGTTGTTGGAAAGTTTCTGTTGAAGGACACTCATGGTGTCTGATGCTGTTTTGAGCTTGTATGGATAGTTGTAGAAGTGTATTTCCACTGGGAGCTGAAATAAAAACAGTTTCTTTCCTCTTCGTGTTTCAGCAGCCTGAATTCTCTAGAATAACACACAAGACTGCACCCGCAGATGATCTGCATATCCACTTGATTACATTTTAGGCAAATTGTTTTCATTATATAGTTATTAACCAATCGCACATATCAAGATTGCTGAAAAAGTTAAAATAAAAAAGACATTATTTTGGCAGATCTCATGCCAGAATGTAGTTTAACTTTTTAATATTCTTGTGATCCCAGTTTTACTTCAGTGCACTCCTATTAAACCCACTCAACTCTAATTCTAATACGGATTATAATTACAGATTATAAATACAGATAATAATGTTGGCTCTTCACTGTACCGTAATATCCAATAATATGTCAATAAAAGTATCAAAATCCCAAATACTTACTCTTTTGTTCAAAGTCTTCACGGTTTTTATTACATTATTATTATTATTTATAGCAAAGGCCTTACATTTCTAAAAATTGCTTTACTGTTGTTGCCATCACTTAGTATGGATGCCGGTCCCTTAATCTAATACTGAATGCAGTCAATTTTCAATATAAAATTTTGTCTTATCACCCGCTGACTTTCAATGTACTCATATTTACCACATAATAACAGCTTCTTAATGATACATAAAGAGAAATGATGGTTAGTTTATGATAGAGGCTATTGACTCCACTTGTTATTCAGCTTAATTCATACAATTCTGATCACATCACAACCCAAAATGAGCATTATTATAATGTTGCATTAGATGTCTCTATTGTCAAAGAAATCTGCAAACACATAAACCCCCTTTGAAATGTGCAATTTCAGAGCCACAAGTTGGCACCAAACAGAATTGCAAAAATGCTGATCTAAATCCAAGCAGGTTTTCAAACTTGTTTTACCCTATTTAGACAATCAGCCAATGGATAATGGCTTATAGTTGTCTCTGCACATTAACCCCCTGGGGTCGAAGCCCGCACCAGTGCGGTCTGTCTCGTATTTTCTTCATGACCGCAAAAAGAACTAAAAATACTCCGTAATTTTTTATCTTAAAATGCGTCATTAAGTGAAAATCATTGTTAAAAACCATAACCGTTTAAAACCATAAATATCAAGTCTAACTGTATCACTCAGTCTAAGTCTCACCAAACCTGATTATGCTTGACATGCCATAGGTCTTCATAGATTACATTAAGATTTTAGTGTGCTTTTTATGATACAGTTGTGCTACCAGATCACGCAAGAAACAAAACCGCACACTAGAACTTCACGAGTGAGCTCTTAGACAAATACAAAGGCTCTTATCCTTCTGAACAAAGGGACTAATGGCACCACGCAAGAAGAAACCGCGTGTTTAGCCTTGTGACCTTCTTTTCTTCCATTCTGCTCTTCAAAAAAAACAAGCCTGCTAACATCCTGCCATCAACAACCATTTTTACTGCAGCTCAACATCAACGCGGCCTCAGAATCGGGAGGTGGCCGTGTGCGAGATCTCACTGTCCATTTTAATATTCCGAGCAGAGTGAGAAACAGACAGAAAATCAATAGCTTCATTTTTTTTTTCAATATTAAAGAATAGTGGGAAAGGGGCAGAGCTCCAACCTTTTGCTATAAAAATCCAAGATTGGCTTTAAAAAGCCATTTGCCATTTGATCCAAGATGGGACTGAAGACAAACCCCTGGGGCAGAATTATTTGATTAAATGTTGTTTGTTCTGCTTTGCTCTGGGAACACTTGAAGAACTGGCACAAATACTGTGGTTCTTTCATTCAACATTTTATGCATGTTTACATAAATACACAGGTGAAAACGTTTGATTTACCTGGTCTATCTTAGGACTTTCTGACAAACAACTTACAGCTGATGTTATACAGATGAGAATAAACAAGGTCATAGTTAATTTTAACTACATAATAAAGAATATAAAACAAATAGCTGACTCAACATGCTGATGGTTGAGCCACATTTGAAAAGGTTATAAAAAGCATATAAACTCTGTGACCGCCCTATTCTATTAAGGTGTCAAGTATGATGTTGCTTGGCAGCCTACAACTAGGTGTATAAACTACATTACTTTGTGGATTGTTTTTTTTTCTAACCGTTATTAAATGTGACTTATTTATTTAACATTTTATCATATAGCTGTTACTGCTGTTTAATAAAACACAAGAATCTAAGAATATGCCCTAACTAAGTCAAAACCATTGCAGTGCATGCATAGCCTTTTGTGGTTTACATTGTTTTCTTTAATGCTACAGCCCATGCAAAAGCTCATGACTGAATATGGCATCCTGCCATTTTTCAATAGTGAAGAAAATATATTATTCATCACGCATGGATGAAAGTAATTTGAAGAATTGTAACGGCGAGTGAAATGTCAGTCCAGTTCATAACTGTCCGAATAGCCTTGAAGACAACCTGGATGGAAGACAATTTATTGTATTGTAGTGTTACTGTATACTCTACTTCTGAGATGTCCCTGAAACCTCCCTGAATAAAAAAAAAAACAGACTCAATGGGGTGGTTGGTCTCCTTCCTATTCTTGATCCATGAAATTTTCATCATGAGCAACATTCATGTTTCTTCCATAAAAGTAATCCAGCACAGCCAAAGTAGAGAGCAAACATAACCTCACATCCATCTGTCCGTGCCTGGCATCAGGATCACGAATCTCACCGAGAGCCTATATTTGTTTTTCAGACATCAGAGCACTTGAAGTACAAAACTACAGAGCTGAGAGGGGGTTCTCTGAAATCTAGGCAATAGACTGAATTCTTGGGGTAACATGCCAGTCTAACCAATGTTATCTCCCATTTTTACAAAGAGCAAAATCCATCAAGAGAAAAGTTGCTGTCTGCAGTTGAACTAAGTTACTAAAAGAAAAAAAGACAAACAAGAAAAGACTATTTACAATGGTTTTTAAATAAATAAATCAATCAATCAATCAATCAGTCAGGACTTGAGGGAAGTTTGTGCAGTACAACAAACATGTAATGTGGTCCAAAAAGTGTGATACCCCAAGAAAAAAAAAAAAAAAAAGCTTATTTGTTTATTTGTTTGTTTGTGTATATACTGTATATATACACACAAACAAACAAATAAATAGT